TCACTTGGGCCACAGACCCCCACGGTCCCAAGGGACCTCATTTGGTGGTGGAGCTAATTACAACAGCAGAACCACACAAGGAGGACGATGACCTTCTCCTCTTCTCCTCTGAGGCTTCTGAGGATCCGTTTCCCTCATGAAGGCAGGCATTCTTCCTCCAAGAACACTGATTTCAAATGGTGCTAGACAATGAATAGTTAAATCTAAACCACCATATGAAACCAGCTTCCTGAGGGAGCTTGTGTCTAGCTGGGAGGATATTCCTGTAACAATAAATTGGAAATGCCACAGAAGAATACCTAGCCATGTCGGGTTTTTATTTTTCCTATTAAACAGTTGATGCTTTTTTCTTATTCTTACCCTTGATTTTGGTTTGAGTCACCAAATGTTCACTTCTGTTTTCTATTATACTGCTACCAACAGCAAGAGAATTGCTTGCAGCGCTGTCACTCCGAAGAATTCTGTTAGCCAAGCTTGAACAACATGTACAAGGCTTTAACAAGGAATGAAGGACCTTCATCCTACTTGTGTTGCTGCCTTCTATTAACACATTCTGTCTGCTGAGCTCTGCCCACAGCAGACACACCAGCAAGGGCAGTGCTGCTGCAAACTCCCTCTTGTGACAGCAAAGCACGTGTGACAGTTCTCCTGCAGGATGTTACTGTGTCTTCATTTTAACAGCAGTAGCCAAAACACCAGCGTGTGACAGAAGCTACACGTTAAGGCCTAAATGCTGAATATTCAAAGGTCATGCAGAGAGCCTGAAAACCTGCCCACCTGCCTGCCAGCCCTGGATGAGGTGGGATTTGCAAATCAGGGAGAAAAGTGTGTGTGCCCAAACATAACGCTAATGACTTGCATTGATTACGGACTGTTCAGACCTGGCACTTTCCACCTGGAGCCAGCACTGCTTCTTAGAAGTCTAACACAGGGCTTTTTCCTGGAAATCTGCTACTGAAGTGTGTTCTAGACAATTTACTCCCTTTCAAGCAGATTTTTTTTTTTTTTTTCCTACAACCTGTCCGCAGCTCCTCAACTCAGCTGGCAGAACAAACCTGAGCTCTGAAGAACCGCATCTGCAGGGCGACGTCGAGCAAGTCCAAGTGTCTGCACAGCCCCGCTCTCAGCGACACCTTCTGGGAAGCACTTGATAGGTACATCACAGCCTCTCAGCCAGGAACTAATTACCCCCAAGCAGCAGAAGGCACCACGAGAGTGTCTTGGTGGCAGAGGGAGGCACAAAGAGACCGTGTGCTGCATCCGGGTGTAGAACAGCACTGTTTTTAAGGGAAACAACCCAACGGAGGAGGCTGGGCCTCCGAGAGCGGGCAGTTACTGGAAGAGCTGTCACTATGCCAGGCCACATCAGCACTGGATTTATTGTGCAGCTTTTCTGTCCAGAAAAGTGCCTGTGTGGAGCAGAGCAGGCAGGAAGCAGCAGGACCGAGCTGTGCTCGTGCCCGTGTGTGTCCCCAGGCTCTGCCCCGAGCACACACAGCTGCCTGGGAATCTTCCATGCAGGCACACAAAACACTGGTGCTTTAGCAATACAATAAAGCTGCTATGAAGTGTGGGCAGAACCAAACTGTTTCCTCCAGCAACTCAAAAGCCCCAGACTTTGCCTTGCTGCAGTATTTTCAAGAGGAGTGAAGCATCTTAATTCCCTCCCCCCCCTGCAGTTTATTACACTCTGTGCTCTGTACCAGCCTCTGGAAGCCCTGTGAAAGCTTATTTTAGTTGATTAGAACCACAGAACAATTTAGGTTGGAGAAGACCTCTAAGATTATCAAGTCCAACCTCTGACTTAATACCCTCCATGCCCACTAAACCATGCCATGAAGTGCCAGGTCCACCAGTTTTTTGAGAACTTCCAGGGATGATGACTCCACCACTGCCCTGGACAGCCTGTTCCAGTGCTTAACCGTTCTTTCAGTGGAGAAACTTTTCCTAATATCCAACCTGAGAGTCCCCTGGTGCAACTTGAGGCCACTTCCCCTTGTCCCTGTCCCTAATTCCCTGGGAGAGGAGACTGACCCCCACCTGGCTCCCCCCTCCTGTCAGGGAGTTGTAGAGAGCGAGAAGGTCATCTCTGAGCCTCCTCTTCTCCAGGTTGAGTCCCCCCAGCTCCCTCAGCTACTCCTCAGAGAACTTAAGTTCCAGACCCTACACCATCACCCAAGATGTACCCATCTGTGGAGTCCTGAGGACAGGCAAAAAAATTCGTTCAAACTCTTTCTCTTCAGGGCACAGAAAACCACTTAGAAGACTAATCACATCATTTCCTAAAGCTTCACCACCCCCAAGGTGCAGCCCTCTCTTCCTTTACCACGAGAACAACAAAACCAACCAGCTTAGACCAAGAACCAAAACTCTAGATGGCTGAAGGAGAGAAATCAAGTTAGCGTGGACAAGTTCTCACAAGGGCATCTGTCAGCAGCACAGCTAACACAGTCCTCTCCAAGAAAATCCTCATGAGAAGGTCCAAGAAACCTGAGATCCATCTGTAAAACAAGGAAAGCAATGACACTTCCCAGCCATTATCTTCCCAGGACAAGGCTAACCCGTGCTGTAGCATCTCTTCCACACAGCTGCATTCATGACACACATGGATTTGAAGCCGAGGTCCGGCTGCGTGGCTCTGCCTTTACCACATGCCCTAAGGATGGGTGCAGACCACGGCATCCTCCATCTGACTATCCAGAGAGCAAGTTCTGCCATTTAATATCATTTGCACTCTTGAAGAAAGCATCTTTCAGAACTTGCAATAACTCTGCGTGTGTTTCTAGAACACGGCTAATGAGAAACACGCCCGCATTAGGGCTGTAAACTGTCATTTCTAAATTGGAAAAACAAATGAACTGCACAGAGAGAGCTATTGTGCTGCTCCAAGATGCCGCCTCCTAATTAGGTCCTGGAAGTTTTAGAACATTTTCGGATCTTGAACTGCTCCGTCCTTCCTAGATTTAATGATCAGAAGAGCTGAGGGCAACTTTCTCATTGAACTGGGAAGAAGAAGAGGAACAGAGGAGTTAGTTAATTTTTACATTTACAAGCAGGAGCTCGGAAAATAGGAAGAGCAAACCCAGAATTCACTGTAAATTGCTAAAAATTGTAGATGGAAGAGCATCTGATTATGTTTTTGTTTCTGTAGTTACAAATTAAGTATTCTGTAATCCTCCAGAGAAAATTATGAGAATGACACGCCAGTGACTTAAGCCCTAATCTTAAATACTTCATAATTCACATTTTTATTTGACATTGATGGGATCACTTGCAAGAGTAAAGCTTTGTCTGCAATTAAAGCACTGCAAGAATAAAGTTTACAATGGTTTTGTTTTGCCATTGAGTAATTGCAATGATTTACATGTGGTTTAGCTGCATTCAAACACCTATCAGAGAACCCTCTCCCTTCCACTGATAAATTCCTGCAGAATTCCTGCACTTGGAATAATATGAGAACTGTGATCCCATCTGTGACTGCAAATGACAATTGTGGGCACTTTATCAGGTTAATCAGGGATAATCAGAGAGAACATGCACTGGGTGCGACTTGGAAAGACTTCCATGTGGACCTAATGATCCTGCACAGGAAATTCATTAAAAAAATAAGTCCTACTGCTTCCTTTCCATGCCCTGCCACAACAGGAGCCGTGTAAAATGGATTTTCTGAGAGCTTGACTTAGGACAGCTTTACGATCCATCTGAAAGAGCGAGTCAGGCTGTAATTTGCAGACAATGGCCTGTGAGAACATTACATCTGACAAACTGCTCAACTTACTGTAACTTTTTAAATTCTTTTTTTTTTTTTTTTTTTAAATAGAACGTGGAGCCAGGGAAAGATGACAGAGTGACAAGTCTGCAGAAAGGCTCTGTCTGTAGCAGGGGAAGGGACTGTGAGAACTTCTTACTTAACGCCTCGCCATGGATCTCGTTTATGAGCTGCTGCAGACACCCCATGGCATGATGGAGAGGAAGGAACCACTGAGAAATTATCTGTCAGCTGAAAAACCAATTAATACTAACTGCAGTGAGAAAAGAACTGTCTACCCAGATAGAAATTGAGACTGTGAAGTCAGTTACAGATGTCTTTAAGGGATTTTTTTTTTTTTTTTGGCCATTTTCAACTTGAACTTAAACCACAGCTATTGGGGAAAAGCTGCTTCATCTTTTCTTTTTCTGCACCATCAATCCCCCAGCGTTTTCACCACCAGCTTAATGAATTCCAACTATCAAGAGAGCTCATCCGCTATGTAATTTGTCTTTTTTTGTTCCCTTCACTAAACAAGCAGGAAAAATGTTTTTAATTTGCAAGGCTGAATAAATACCTACTGTGTTTGCCAAGACTTTATTGACATTCATGGCTGTCCACAAAGCTGACTGACTTCTCACAGAGATGGTTTATCTCCCCAAGTGAAAAAAAAATAAACCTGCCCGAACAAGAAGATGTTAATCTTCCTTAATAAAATAAATGAAAAGCAGTGGTTCAATAAATAATCCTGTGGCTAGTGAAACCCCTTCATCCAGGATATGGTCCCAGAGCAGATTTTTGTTGACAGCAAGATCACTTAGCACTGGGACACCCTCCAGTGCTCGCTGCTGCCTCTGATGCTGCAGCAGTTCATGTCACCTTCCAGTTGTACCCACACGACTGCCCGTGGGCCACGAAGTTCATTCAAATGATTCTAATTCAAGGGGAAAAAAAGAATAAAATAAAGGGTTTCTTTTCCTGTCTGAGTTATTTTCAGCCATCTGGTTTTCCGCACGGTCAGGGAAGGGATGGCGCTGCATTGCTGCTGGGCTGGAAATGAATGGCTGGGAGTGGGCAGAAACTTATTAAGCTGGCACTAGCAAAAGGCATGAACTGTGGAATTACACCTTGGATAGCATCAAATCCCATCTCTCTTGCTCAGCTGGTCATGAGGAGTTGAGATGAGTTTCAGCCTGCAATGAAACACAGCTCTTGAACTTTCACAAGAAAATCAATACACTGAACTCTGAGGTTCTTACTCAGGTTTTACTTGGGTTTTTGCACAAGGTCCAACTTTCCCCACAGGCCTGAATTTTTCCATTTGAATTTTTTCTTACCGAACAATTTTGTTATCTGATGTTAAATGGGCAACGTGCAAGAAACAATCAAAGCCTCCACAGCTGGAATTTAATGTGATCAGAAGGTCTGCAGTGGCTTGATATGAACAGGTAAGGACAAAAAGCACTTGGGTGATTTGGGAGGAAATTAATGACATGAAAAACCTGAAAAGATTTCCTACACTGATGACAGTACTTCCCGTTCCTTCCTGTGCTTTGTTTAGCTGCACTGAGAAGAGCTATGAAGTAAGAGATCTTGGGAACATCCCTCTGGAACAGCCCTCAAATAAAGACAGTTATTTCCCACTAGTGAAACATCCAATTTATCCATTATGCACACACAATACCTTCTTTTATCTTTTTAATTTCAAAGCTTCTCAAAGCTTCGAACAGGAAAGGTCTGATGGTTACAAGGTATTTATAACAGCTGATACCAAGGAAGGACACAGATGTGCTGTACCTCAGAAAGAACAGCCTCCACCACGTACAACTTTCTCCATGTGCTTCTGGGACAATTCACTACTGACAGGTCTGTCCTCAGAATCTGGAAATAAAAAAAAAAAAACCCAAAAACAAAGCAAAACAAAAAAACAAACACAAAACACAAGAAGCCATATTAGTTCCCTCTGCGTTGTTCTGCAAAGAGATAAACTGAAATACAACTTCAGAATCATTCTTCTCTTCCTCCAGGTTCTTACACAGGCTCTTAGACACGTTATGGCTCCTCACAATCCAAGTTTAATAATGTGAGTGCATTTACGGTCAGAACAGGCAATCACACGGTGTACCACTAACCCCAGCACTAAATACAGGTATCGTGTTCCCCTTGGAAGGAGTAATTTCTGATTAAGAGCTTTAAAATTCATCAAGAGGAATTGCTGCCTCTGTTTCATAACAAAGTATATGTGCAGACACTCCTTGTAAGATATATCCAAACCTCCTGGCAGACTCCTGTGAGGTGCAGTCCACCTGTGCACTGACTCCGTGGCATTCTGAGCCCTCATGCCACGGGGAAATAATTCTCTGTGGAGGCAGAATCCATATACAGCAGGTGCCAGAGAATCACCTGCTGCATGTAGCAATATCCTTGACGTAGAAGTTGCCTCTGATTTACTCTGAACTCTGTTTTGAAACCTCTTCAGGCTGATTTTGGGGATTAGCAGCGGAGGAAATCCTAAAAATACAAAAGCAGGCTTATCGAGCTGGGGAAAGAAAGCAGTAAGATGTTTTTGTGACAAAGGCTTCAGGATATGAATTATGCATCAACCAAAAACTGACTTCAGTTTGGATGGGAGGAGGGAGATTTCTGTGCAACCAAATCCCAGCACAACGGGCACAAGCTGCTCTGCAGGGAATTATTACATGCATCCTGTACAAACATCACCAATTTGAGAACCCCACTCTCCTTTTTTTTTTTTTTTCCCTGAGCATTATTTTGTGCTAATTGTGAGATCTTGAGGTGGAAATGCCCTGCCTCAAATACATAACAACAAATACCTCCTTGGAACCAGTCACCATCCATTTCAGAGAGGGCTACTGAAACCATAAGGAAGCAGGAACAGCCTGGCTTCAGCCTCGCTCTATTTCTGTCCACATTCCCACCCTGTGCCCATCACCATAGCAGCTCTTCTGTCAAACACCAACCTTTGGGGCAACAGAAGTAGGAAAACAGTGGTTTGTTGTTTTTTGTGTTTTTTTTCCCAAAGGGATCAGGATTTGCTGAATACAAGCAGCTGATGTTATATTTTAGCAATTGGACAGGACAGCCATAAGGAACAATGTAATTCCCTGCTGATTGATGAGGTATGTTAATGAAGATATGATAATGATGTAGCCACCCACAAAAAACCTCACTGTTGCTTGTCCATGTCTTTACATTATAAAAAACCACTTTTTTTTTCATTTCTACTGCTGCCTTACATATTTAAAAGCATCTTATTGGGATCTGGGAGAAAAACAGTGACCATTAGGAATGAAAAAAACCCAAAATATTTCTTCAGCTGGAAATAATTCTTCTGACTTAAAGCTTTTGGGATCTAACAGCGATGAGCATCATTTTTAGCAACCACCCTGGCACCGTAGCTGTTATATAAGTTTCAATAGAAGTGCTAATCCCATCCCTGAGCAGAAATGTCCATCACGGAGCACTCCAGAGCTACACACCTACTGCCTGTATCCTCGTGCCATGTGTTGTATCACAGCCACTTCTGTCCCTACAAAGTGAGCTCTTAAAAACCAGGCACCCATTAATGTTGTCGCCTCTCTGCTTATCTCCAGCACAGGATTAATTTATGCTGCTCCACAAATTACCGTGGCAGTCTGTCTGTCAAAGGACCTGGAGAGAACTGCTCTTACATATCTTTTAAAAATAACAATAAACACCGTGAAAACATTTATCACCCTGTAATTTTCGTCTGATATAATACAAACTCAGACTACTTTGGAAGACTCCACGATTACTGAAGAGTAAGGGAAATTAAAATTATCACGCAGGAAAAAAAAAGATAACAATTAAGAAAGATAGGAAATTCAATCAGACCACTTTAAGTTTTAACCCAGCTGAATTCCTACGCCTCACCAACACACTGCAGCGGATCTTTTATCCAAAGACAAATATTCTTTACACCTCCCATCATGGATGACACTGCAAAAAAACCTGAAATCCAAGCCAGAAATATTTTCAGAGTGAAACAAGCCACCTCTGAACCTTTCCTTGTTATGCTAAAGGAGCACAAGAAGGAATGGACAGGGCTCTGAGCAATCTGGTCTAGTGGAAGGTGTCCCTGCCCAGGACAAAGGGTTGGAACGAGATATCTTTAAGGTCCCTTCCAACCCAAACCACTCTGTGATTCTATGAAGCATAAATCAATTTTTTTTTTTTTTAAAGATATCCACTTCCTACATTCTGCTGCTGCACAGTGACAAATGTATGCCAGATACATTTACACTACATATTTCACAGCAGGAAAAATAACCGACGCAGAGATCTTACTCCATCAATGTACTGGAAACAGAAATTATTTACCTTTCAGTTCGCACAGATTTACGAACAGCTTTTCCCTCAACGTGTTCGTCCCTTGGCATGTGCAGGACACCTCCGTGGGATCAGCACCTGGAATTTTTAAAACGGTTTATGTAAATGCGTGTGTGCGCGCTTTTCCACTTTAGCTCCCCCTAAAAATACAAGGAAGTCACATGGTTATGGTAAAGATAAAGATTTTAGGGACTGAGCAATGGCCTGTAAGCTGTGCTAGAGACTGGAAGAGCTGGGAGATGACAGGGATCTTCACTGCATGCTGAGCAAGGATCATCTGGGATCAACTGGTGAGCATCTGGCAGGGCTGGAATCAATTACATCTGCACAACCATGCACAGCTTAAGAGTATTTACTGATCCTTCCTCCTGAACCCCTGTTACTACTCAGTTTGTGCACGTGACTTCTGTTACAGGACAGTCACATCATCAGGAGAAAAGCAGACTGTGTGCTTCAACAATAAACACTGATGCTGGCACACGCCATTGAAATTACAGAGCTAATCAGAGGACAACACAAGGCTCCACATGTTGAACACAGCCAAGCAAGAGATGGGGAAAAAGGGCTGTTGGATTCTGAAAATAATTCTGATTTATGGAATAGTCGTTGCTCTGATCTACAACAGCTATTAAACAGCTGTAGTTGCACTAGGAAAGTGTGTCCCTATCCATCAGGAAAACATAATGCACATATATCCAGTATTTGTGGTCTTATTAGTCTCCCCCCTACAACCAGCTCCACCTGTTGAAGCCACAAACAAGGTCAGCATCTCATAACTGGAGGATTTAAAGCATGGCTGACGTTCTGATTTGCCTTGAGACCTGAGCAACTCAGTTTGTGCAGATTTTGAAGCTACTGTAGCTATATACCTTCCAAGTGATTTCCAAGAAAGGCAAATACTGTAGCAGGGCACAGACCCTGTCATGGACCAAGACACACCAATCTAGAAGCTTCACATAAAACAGAATGAGTTTGGTCTCCAGTTTACTGCCTGAGGCAAGAAACTGAGAACAGACATAAAAGAAGAAAAACTAATAGGAATAATGAGACAATAAAACCTGATATAAAGGCAGATTAACACTCCCAATGGCCTTTCTACTCTGGACTGCATAGACAGACATAGTTTTGAAACAGAGGCTTAAATAAAAAGGTATTTTTGTGGCATTTACAGAGGGCTGGCATGGGTCAAAGCTCCATTCTGTTGACACACCACATGTGTGCAAGCCACACAAACACCTTGGAAGGAAAACAAAATGATGCACAGAGGTGCAGGTCTGGAACTTGAGTGCAGGGGGAGAGAGAGAGAGAGTAATCAAATCCATGTTTGCAAAGAAATCTGGGAAGAGGTAAGATACAGAACATGCACAGAGAGAATGTCATTGTGCACATCAGAAATATGATTAAGAAAGACCACAACTCTCTTGCCCCCAGAATTACAGACATCCAGTCAGGATGGAATCTCGAGCTGGAAATAGGATTGATGCTACTGAAAGTTCAACCAGTGAAAAAGTGGAAGGATGAAGAACTAATTATAAGATCTGGTTATGAAAAAGCAACCAGACAAAGTTTCAAATGAATTCAAGGTGCACATGTCAGTGTAGGACAGAATCACAGAGGGGAACACAAGCCTGCAAATGATTGGTGGAACTTCCTACTTCCAAAAATCTGGCCATTACTAGACCAAGGAACGCTAACTAAACCCAAAGAAACACCAGTTATTTAGTCAATGAGAGATTTCATTCTTTATTCTGCCAGCATTCAAGTTCTCCTGTTTGTAACAGACATATTAAGTTAATTCATCAATGACTAAATGAGTTCAGTTAGTTCATGGCACGTAATTAATTAATTATCCTCTGTTAACAGGCACATCCTAATGTCACTTTGTACTGTTTTGCAAATTCAATTTAATTTATTAGACACGATAAGAAAAAGGGAATTTGAAGGCAGAAAACAAAACTGCAGCCAAGACAGATGCAAAACCTACGGAGATAATGCACAACATAAATACCATCTGGCAGCAAGGTCCCCTCCATGCCCAGCAGGGATGACTGTTCTGCATTAACTGTTTTGTGCTTAGAACAGGTTTGGGATGATGGGTGCAGGAATGTGGCAGCTGCCAGCCCGTGGTGGTGCCCCCACAGCCATTTCCCTGCAGCTGGACTGGGTTCTCAACTCGTACTCCCCCCCGCTTCAGTCCCTCGCAAATAGTTTCGTCAAGAAATTCTTTTTTCACAGAACTACTTTGGATTTCCTTGTGGTTTTAATAGTGGCCAAGGAAATTCACTCAAGATTATCCCCGTAATTCCTTCTGTAGCCACTGTGAAGGTTAAAAGGATTATACAGTCGAAGTGATGACTGGGATAATAAAGTATGTGCTATGTAACGCCAGCTGCACAGGCCTTGACAGAGTGAAGTCTAAGAAAAGACAGAAGTCTTCAAGCACAAAACCTGACAGCTGCTTGAACACGGGGTCCACATACACCTGGCATTCCAAAGTCCAGCTGAAAAGCAGGAGCTGGGAGAGGAGTTTAAACAGGTGTGTGATGGTGTTGTCAGGCAGCACATGCACCAGTGCAAAGGTGGGAGCAGCACCTTTAGTTAGGCTGGATCTGCCTGTCAGACACACCAACTCCTTCAGCAGCCTCCTTTCAGCACAGAGAGGAAACAGCGGAGAAGCTCCCTCAGCCCAGGGCGGGAAATCAGCTGAACCACGATAATGTGAATGGACCACACTTAAACCCTCATTACCACAAAAAATAAGGTAGGCTTCCATCAGTAACAAGCCATGAAATTTTTCTTGTGTAGGTGCAGCCACCACACAGGACAGGAGCTTTGGGAAGGCCAGTCCTGCTGCTGAAGAAGGCAGTGAGACACATCTGTCCGCAGATGGATGCCTGAGGAACATCCCTTTGCCATGAGACTGGGAGGCTGCAGGCATCATCCACATGGCCTGCCTTGGTTCTGAATAAATTTTGGTGGCATTCAGGTGCCTGGAGTCCAGACTGATAAAACTCCCTACTCAGCAGCTGCTGGGACATCAACACATGACACACAGAGCCTGGTATTTCCTGCTGTTCACAGTCGAAGGTGTCCCAACCTGAAGCAAGGGAACCTGCTTCTCACTGAGACTCTGCTGCAATCCATTTAGGCAAAAAGCAGCCTGAACACCACAGAGTCCCCTGAAAGAGCCTAAAATCCATGACAGTCCATGCCAACACCAGAGAACAAGGCTGCACAGGAGAGCTGGTGCTCCTTCACTGGACACGGAAGCACCCACCCACATGGAAAGCAGGAGAGCCCCTTTCTGTGCCTTCTCAGCCTTCAGCTTCACACAGCCCTGGAGAACTGGAGCAGCACAGGTCCAAGACGTGAGGCTGAACATCTCCCTGCATCGGCTGTGCAGCTCCTGAGCTTCCCTGTGTCCCCTGCCACACACACCCCCTCAGAGCAACTGATGCCCAAATCTCGGTCTAATAAGTGCCAAGCAAGTTCCCTCTGGAGTGTCTCCTCTCTGCAGATTATTCTGATTCCCAAATTCCATGACATCCCCACCCCTGCCATCTTCATAATACCACAAGCATCTCCCCAGCCTTTTCAGTCTCATTCTGTCCCATTCTGGTGGAAACTGAGCTCTGCCCTGTCATCCAACACTTTCTCACAGCACATGTAGGAAGTATTTCCTAATTTTGGCTCAAGCAGTTGGGCTCCACACCCAAGGGCAAAAATCCAGCATGGAGACAGAAACTGGGTATCTCTGTGCTCCAGAAAAAATTAAAAACCACCTCAGTACTGGGTATTTCTAAAGAGGGTGTATGTTTCATGTACAGGGGGACTGAGCTAAGCATCATTTTGATCTGAAGCTTAAAATACACAACCTTTCCAGGGCTACTTCTGTATTTCCACGGAAAATTGGTAATATCCTTGAATAAAATGAGTAATTAGAAGAGTTTTTAAAGGACTTACAAGGATAGCAATACAGAAAGAAGGTAGAAGGGATTGGGACTACAGCACAGCACTGCAGTAAGGAAAGGAATGACTATGATTATGTTTGAGGTACTGTAATTTAGGAGAAACTGTAGCAGAACTGTTACAGCAGCTTGCTAATTCTATTACTAATCCTTACATCACACTTCCCAGACTCCTTACGGATTTCCCTCCTAACAGCCTCTGCTTTATCAGCGTTTTTTTGGCAAAAGAAATTACAGTAACTTATGCTACGAGGGAGTAATTGTGTCAGGGGGTTGGTAAGGAATATTCACTTGCATTTCCAGACTGGAGCAGCCCTCTGCTTACTGTGCTCTCTACATCATCAGTCTGAAAGAGCCCTCACCCTGCTTTGAGGGCCATGAAAGTTATATGAGATTTCCAGTTAAGGTGAGGATAATGTGGATCCGGTATGGATGTGACAGGATAGGCTAAACGAGCTAAAATAATTGAAGTCAACATGCAAAAACTGCACTGTACAGATCTGTAAAATACTGTACAGACCTATAAAACAGTACAGACTCAAAGCAAGAAGTCAGACCACAGGAACACAGATTACGACACTGTGAAGATTCATTTATAGCTGTATAATTAAGCCCACACAACAAATACTTATTTTTCTCCTCTTAAATATATCTCCCTCACTTCACATGTAAATATTACTAATAAATTGCCTTGTATCACTGCCCATGGGTACAAAGCCCTTTCTTTGAACACCCCAGTCCCAGATATTTTCAGATGTAAAGGAACGGAAGGGGAGGATTTGCGACAGTGCCCCAATTAAACTTGTATTTTTTCTCCCCAAATCCATGCTACTGCATCCTAAAAGAGAGATGCTGAGCATATCTGCTGCATCACTTCTCTGAATCCCTGCCAGCACTATCTGCTCTCTGAAATCCCCTGTGGAGATTTCCAACACACCGCGAGCCCTGCACAGCTCCGCCTCTGACCCTTCCTGTTTGGGACTCCTGAGCAATGGGCTTTATCTCATTAATTCAGTGTTTTTTAGGAAACTACTTTTTCCTGCCAGTTTTTAAACCCAGAGGAATTTTCTAGATGTGCAGTGACAGCGCATGAGTAATAGCTCCCTCATT